GGATTTTTACATACCTAATAGAGAATACTTTGTTAGCTCACAAAGGTGTTGCTAGGACAAATCTACTCATGTGGGCAAGATGCCCAGATACTATGGTGATGGGGTCCAGAAAAGCAGACAGAAATGAATGTTCTCTGCCAGTCTTTCACTAGACTAACACGGCTACATTTCTATCACTAGAAATGTAGGCCATGAGTAGGGTTCTATGGAATGATGCACATCTGAAGATTTCATTTTACTTGCTTCTGTAACATTAAACTGTAAAAATCCTGAGCCTGATTCATCACTGTGTAATTCCAGGATCCTGGCACAAACCAAAAAATCAAGCCCTCTCTTTTTTACTGATGCACTTAGGCCATGTCTACACTAGCATGCTTACAGCGGCACAGGAGTGTGTGGGAGGAGAGCAGATGTACTGCTGTAGGATTGCTCATGCAGCACAGCACTGTGCACATTATCACTTATTGCTGGCAAAATTTACGTTGCTCACAGGTGTGGCTTTTTTCACACCAATGAAGGACACAAGTTTTGTGAACACAAGTAGTAGTGTAGACATGTCCTAAAGCTGCCAGAAGGGCCAATAGACTCTCAGGTGAAATTATGTTGGGATTAAAGACTGAAGTTTGCATGTGATGAGATTGTATAGGGAACATGAAAGGCTATTTGGAGTACTGACAAGAAGTATAGATGAAGCATGTGCAGTTTATAGGATGTCACCATACCTAATAGGAGGCTGCTCCCTCCTTTGCCAAGCAATAACATCAACTTGACTGCTAGAAGCCACCCACTCTAGAACGGATGGGCAGGCAACTCAGCATCTAACCTTAACGTGTATGGAAACTTCTGAGGCAAAAGTGCCAAGCTGCCAAAAGGCCTTGTGCTGATTTTCTGACATGCAAAGTGTGCAGAAAGGGCTATGTTAAGAACATTAGCTTAGTTTACCAAAAGACATTTTGTGCCCTCAGTAACTCACACAGTAGTTGTGCACACATATTGCCAAGCAGAATTAACCCTCCCTCTATCTAACAAATACAACTATGACTACTGCCCTAACAATCAAAACTGTACTTCACTCAGTAGGACACATACTTTGCCACTAACAACTGCAGGTGCATTGCAACTGCTCATGTTTGCCACCAGCTCATACAGATTTAGGGCTCAGCCCTTTTAAAGGAATGACATGTTCGGATTGGTCCTGCTTTGGGCAGGGGGCTGGACTTGATGACCTCCTGAGGTCTCTTCAGCTCTATGATTCTATGTAGAAGGACTGCCTTGGGAGCGGCTCCTGTAAGACTCTGACTCGAAGAGACTTCTCTGAGACACAATTTTTCCAAAACCCCTTTAGAACAGGGTGTGAGAGTTATATTGCATCTGCCCACTACCAGATTCTGCTTACTCATCCCTCATCTCTAGCTCTGCACACAGGTGCAAAGTGGGGGAGCAGATGACTCCAGCTACTCCCTGAGCCTCACATGTTAGAGCAGAATATCTGGCATGCAATCCCTGCTCTCCCCACACGCCTATTTAGGCCTGCATAGCTGTGCAGTGGGTGAAGGGAGGATTTTACACACCTGCAGGGCTACATGTAGTCAAGTCACAACTGAGCCCTTTGAAGAGAGATACTTTGCATGTCTCAAGGCAGAATTTGGATGTTTACACCATCAATGGGATTTTACTACAGCAAATCTGTGGAAGAAACATCCCTCACATTCTAATGATTTTGTGTAGTGTCCATCACCATAATGCATCTATGAAGTCAACTAACCAGTTCAAACTAAAATTAATATCAATTACTAAGTCTGCCTCTCCTCCACATATATTAAAGCACTTCAAAGGGTAGGAAAGCATTTTACAGATAAGGAAACTGAGACCGAGAGGAGCAATGAGGTCACACATAAGTCAGGGGCAGAATTAAAATGGAATGGAGAATGCACAAGTCAAAGTATCTGCTCTTTGTGGACAATGCCATCTTTAAACAAGTTCCTGTTTTCAATCTAGCTGAAAAACTGAAACTGAGGAAACAGCTCCAAGGGAACTTATCCAGCAGCTCCCAAATGAAGCTCAGATCTTTCTAGCCCTCAGTTGTCTAACCACTTAGGGTCTCGAACAACAAAAATGGTATGCTTCCAATTTTTTTATACTAAACCTTTTTTTCCCTCAACTTGAAATAAAATTGCAAAGTTTTCACTTTATGCAAAAGTCCAGATTTCATCACAAGATTAAACAAAAGAGTGTGTATGGAGGGAGAAGGAATGCAAGGATTCTTCAAGCAAATATAATTGGGTGATCAGCGTTACTAGGTTGTCTTGGTGGGTTAACCCAGTGCATTCTTCAGTTTGAGAATGTAGGCTGATTCCTTGTTGTTGTTTTTTAAAAACATCATTCTTTTAAATATCCACTGTAGAGACTTCTGCTGTTTCACACCTCACAAAATGTTCTGAAAGTTCCCTCTTAAAGATCCTCTCCTGGGTCAAAGATAACTCTTGTGCTTATTCTGTGACTGTAGTAAGTAAGCCTTAGTGTAAAACAGCCCTAGCAGCAGAGGAGTGTGGCAGTGAGGGGGAAGCGGAGAGTGTGGCTGGGGTAGGAAAGTAAAGGGAACTGTAGAGCAAGGTGGAGGGAAAGGGGTCTTGAAGAGTGTGGCTGGCAGAGGGGCTAAGAGGGAAGTTGTGGAGAGCGTGACGGGGGTGTGTGGGAGGAGAGCATGACGGTCGTGTGTGGGTGAGTCTTTGAGAATGTGACATGTGTGGGTGGGAGTGGGAGTTGTGGAGAGTGTGACTACTGAGAAATGAGTGAGGGATCATCTGTGAGAGAAGAAATAAAGGACTGGTAAGGAGAAGGCAGCTAGGAGAGGCAGCACAAAGGAGAAACTGGGGAGGACGTGGAAGTTGAATTTAGTAACTGAGGAAGGAAGTGGGTTCTCAAGTCTAATCAACCACTTACTAGGCAAAGCCATTATAAGTGAATGGGGGCTCTCAGCAGCATCCATTTGCCAAGTTCTAGGGGGAAGGCCATGTTTTGGCCAGAGCACAAAAACCAGAAGAGTAGAGTACTCTGGGTTTCTCACATTGGACTCTTGTCAGAGTTGGGGTTTGGAGGCTGGCTAACAGTGCCAATCATCTGGGAAACTGTGCTGAGTTTTTTTTCCCAAATCCTTCACCATACACACAGGACTTGTCTTCATTGCAAAGTTAACTTGAGTTATAACATGGGTGTTGTGATAATTAGACCTTATTGTGAGCTTAGCTGTAAGAAGTTCATAAATGCCACAATTACTAATCAATGAGGACAGGCAAAGGTGCAAAAGGGACACAGAAAAACTGAATTAATCCTAACAAAAAGACTTGCTAATATAACACAAAGCTGGTGTTAAGACCATGCCTGCTAAACAAAAGTAGCACAGACAAGAAATGAATAGACCAAAACTGATGCATCAGAAATCAGACTTAATTGGTTGAACAAAATAATAATGAGTTACGCTATTCCAGCCACCATTTTATTTTTATTAAATACTTCTGTGTTAGTGGCAAAGTCTTTATCACTTCAAAACAAAGTGTCTTTAATATTAATAATATATTGAAAGTCTAAATATGTTTAACAACATTGTATAGATAATTAAAAAAACAAAGTTAGGCATTTAAATCTATATAATATACAGGTAGGGTGCTAGATTATAGAATCATAGAACACTAGAACTGGAAGGGGCCTTGAGAGGTCATCAAGTCCAGTCCCCAGCCCTCACAGCAGGACCAAGTACCATCCCTAGATCCCTAAATGGCCCCCTCAAGGATTGCACTCACAACCCTGGGTTTAGCAGGCCAATGCTCAAACTACTGAGCTATCCCCCTCATATTTAGGCACCAAGACTGGGATTTAAAAGCATTTCAGCTTTTTGGACTCATGGAAAGCTCAATGGGTCAGAAGGTGATTTTAACTACAAATACAGACTAGGCTACTTGTTTAACAATTTGGTGTGTGTTTTTGCTCTTTTCACAGTGAGGATTTTATAGTAGCCACAGGTGTGCTTTTATAGCATAAGACAGACATTTTAAATGTGAAACTTCTTAATAGAAAAAGTCTCTATGTGCAATTCTAAAAGATGAAATTAATCAAAATAAGTACAACATTTCTATTCAAGTATAATTTCTGAATTTTAATTTCTGTAAAGTTTTTTTTAATACTGGATTTTTTTTCACCGTTTCAAACTGTCTGGGCCTCATGAATGCACACTCAAAATAAATATTGTTCATGTGAATAAGGTTGTAAAGGATCAGTCCCTTTATAAGTCTTTCTTTACCACCTATTTGAGTCAGTACTGGATTCTAATGTCAAACATGTCCTTATCCTTTTACTATGGGATCAAGCAGTAAGCAAGTAGCACATTAAACCCAAATATCTTCCAAAATATCAGTAAAGAAACAAAAACATGATTAGGAAATTTGGTTGTGGTATTAAACACTCCTTTTTCAAGTTTGCCACACAGAGTTGTTTTTCAAGGAATCCTGGAATAATTAATTTTAATTGCTTCTTTGCTACATTAACCTTACAGTTCAGCTACAAAACCCATCATTAACAGAATGTGTCAACAGGAAACAGCTAATAGACTAACTCAATCCATGCCTCAGGAGGCTGGCCGAGTTTGAGAATCTCATGCATGGGACACTTGGAGAATCTCTTGGGGAAGCTTCCTCCTGCAGCCCAATGTCCTCAGACTAAAACCTTTGCCCTTGCTATCTGGCAATAGAGACCAGGATGTTTCTGCTACAAATCACAACAGCAACCTATTGACTCAGATCTGCACAGAATGAGAGTGAGGAAGGAGGACAGAAAAAAAGAAGCTAAAGGGAAGATTTTTGACAGCATCTAAAAAGCTTTTATTTTAAAATACATCTCCAATGAAAGAGCAAGGGTATTGCAGTAGAACATTCTGGCAAATTAAATTGCCTTGGTGTCCGAGTTCTCTAATGTGCATTTCAAACTGTTTATTAAAAGCTACTCACCACTGAATGGATTGATCTTTCTTGCAATACGTGAACAGATTGATTCTTTCAGGTCTCTCTTTTTAACGCACTGAATGCCCAAATTCTGAAAACTAGAGCACATGAAAAACAATAATTAAAAAACAGCAACAAAAACTGTTTCAGTTAATCACCAGCACAGATATTCAAAAGTTGAATCCTAATTTTTCCTATACAATTTGATTCTTTACATTTTTGGAATAAAGATAGCAAAAGAGCTTTTGAAAAGAGGGCTTTGTCTTTCTAAAATAAGAGTAATGACAAAAAGAAAGAATTTCTTACATAAAAACAGGGGAATATTGTTTCACATTAAAAAGAGTTATCACTATTGTTTTAATATGGTAAATTAGCAATGCTAAAAGCGATAGTCTCCACTGGTATAAATTGGCATAGCTCCTTTGACATCCACGGGGCTACTTCAATTTACATCAACTGCGGATCTGGCCCACAGTCTCACACTAGGAAATGCAAATCTGCAACAATATTTTGAAATTCAATTTTTATAAAGTTAGTTTGAAATCTCATGTAGTTATGGAAAAGTTCTAAAGAGCTACAGTTCCTCCTCATTTGCATATGACTACATCAAGTCAGCAAAGGAGGTGGGGGGAGTCCCCACAATTTGATTCTTTCCCACATGGAAAAACCATGACATCATCAAAGTAGGGTGGGGAAGTAGGAAGTAAAATATGAATACACTCTAGTATCACTAGAACACAGGAGGTAAGTTATGCTACCAGGTTCTGCTGTGCTTCCAGAAGTACTAGCAATTCCCTTCCCCTGAAATCCCACAAAGCCTCTTTACTTGAGCCATGCCTGGAGACTTCCTGAGACACTCCCCCATCATGTTGTGCCAACTGTCTCCCTCAATGATAGGCCAATATTGCCCTGCTCCTAGCAAAGCCATCCTGCCCCCAAGAAGTTCCTCAGTCCCATCCTGCAACCCCTGAATCCACCCCTCTGTACAGAGAATGAGTCATCTCCTTCTCCCTCCCGCCACCAGTCACATTCTAAGTTAAAGAACTAACTCACGAAAGAACTAATATAAGCCTCTTTTGAACTTTGAATTCAGACTTTAAAAAATGCAGTGCCATCTCACGATTTAATTAGACGATTCTGGTTCCATTTCTGGTTTCCAGTATTTTTAGAATTTGAAGAGAAGTTTAGAATGCACTGCTAATGCTGTATCATTTTGTTTTGTGGGGACTATTTTTTGTAGGCCTTGGTAGCAGAGGGCTGTAGTGGAAAAGAGAAACTAACCAGAATGTGCAGCAAAATTAGGCAGCACCATTTCAGTCTAGCTGAGAGGCAAGGAATGGGGAACTACAAAAGTGGGGCGGGGCGGGAGACAAGAAGTTAAAAAAAAAGGGAGAAATGTATTAAAGCCAGTATATTATATCAGGATAGTAAAAATCTTAACATAGTTGATAGTCTCATATGCACTAGTATAGTCACTCTTGGACAAATCCTGCGCCTGCCCTGATAGCTACAGAAGGCCCTAATCATAGTGGATATATGGTGTAACAGTTCACACTCTGGATCTTGGTGTTTTAACTTTGTTTTCTCACCAGCCTTCCCACTCTGCATAATGTAGTTTGTAACTATTTTGTTTTCTCAAGAGCAATAATCAATTTCCAAATAGTGCAGGCCATAAAGAGTGAACAGGCACAATTAAGAATTCCTCTATAGAGAAACAACCAAGTCCACACCTCCTAGAGTATGTTATGCTCTTGCCTTTATCTTACATGGCATAGATACTTTTATTAGCAACTCCCTTGCATACAACAGTTAATGAAGATGTTCATAACACCCTAATGAGCAGCAATGCCAGCATTAAATTGATTCTGTGCCTGCTTTCACCAGGATTGAATATGGTTAAGCAATGACTTCTTTGCTTCTGAGATTCCTCTACAGTCTCACAAGATACAGTTCTTAGCCCACTGCTCTTTTCCAGGTATTAGCTCCCTTTTAATCATCTTATTTCTATCTTTAACCTTAGCTAGCCTATTTACAGTAACATTCAATGATACATATCTTTTAACAAATTTAGTGCAAGATTTTCACCAGAGATTGATGATTTTGGGTGCCTTTCTAGAGATATTTTGAAGTGGCCTATTTTCAGAGGATAGCAGGCTCGGTACTTTCTGAAAGGAGCCTGATTTTCAGAAGTCTCAGGGCTTAATGTTCATGCAAAACAGACAGGGCTTTGGTATTTAGTCTTCTCTCCAAAATCTTACACTCACAATATATTTTAGAATGATGAAGGACTGAGATAACCTTGCTGAGAACAATGTCCAGTGTCCCCAAACATCTGGCTTGTTTGATTTATGGGTCTCATTTAGCGTTATAAGTGTTCATTTAAAAAAAATAAGGCAAGTTCTTTGCCTTGTGGTTGCAATGATAACCTTCTAAATATGAATGCAGTGTTAATCAATGCACAGTTGTCTTCCTAAGCCCAGAGAAAGCCTGCAACGATTATTATGAAAGATGTCAAATCTCCTTGGAATGTTGGTTCTAATGATGATAAATTAAATGTTAGCATTACCTACTTCACAGTTGATCATTTTAGTGTATAGAGTGGAACAGAGCTGGAAGCCAAGCCCATAAAAGGTGGCCATTAGGAGCTGCCAAACAGGAAATGTAGAGGAAAGAAAAGAGAAATAAAGTAAAGAAATAGCAATATAAGGATGGGAAAGGAAGAGACTAAATAAGGCTAATAGAACTAATAGAACATTCCAACGTCAAAAAGCAGTTCTGTTCAGAAATATTTTGTAGACTGCCAAGGATTAGGTATGTCTGTCAGCGATGGGTTGGGAGAATCCACAGACAGGAGAGAACTCCAGCTCTGGCAAAGAAATCATTCCAACTGTCCTTTCAGACTGGCAGTGGGTTCCTGGAGGTCCCAAGGAGCATCTCCAGCACATCAATGACATTCTTAGTCTAAAACTCAACACAAGTGTTCTACTTACGATAGGACTCTACGATCTCGTCCAAACTCTGCTTCATAGTAGCCATCCCTACAGTCTTTCCCAACCAGGTCATGAGGGTGTGGCTTGTAGGGCTCATTCTTTGTTACTAATGTAATCCTTACTTTCACTTTACCATCAAAGTTTAGAACCTGCAAAAATATAAGTAGAAATACACAAATTCTAATTCACATCTGTCTAAAAATTGTATAATTTTGTATAGTAGACAGGTGACATTGGCAAGGTCCTAGGCATCTAAAGGAGAATACAGTTTGTGTTAATTCTTGCACTAAAAATGAAAAACCAAGCATTTTCTCCTGAAAATTCAGAGTCTGTTTCATCAAATTACCATTCATTTCACACTGAAAGCCAGAGATGGAACAACTACTCTACATATGTATTTGTATTTCAATCATTTGCCTGACAAAATATACATATTTGAAACATCTAGACAGTATTAAGGCTTTTATTTGGGAAAAAATCAACCTCATCATTTTCCATCCTGGCTAAATTACAAGAGGTTAGTAGTCAAGAAATTCACTGGTCAGTGTCAAACTATTACTTCTTTAAATATGAATTCTTTCTATTCCATGCTGTTGTGAAAACATTTCCCCAATCTCTTGACACAGAGAATTCTCCACAGGCCTGACTGACATTGTACTTGACTAAGTCAGTGAAAGCATTTATGCAGGGTCAACAGACTTTGGATCACACTCCAGGAGCTAAACATGCCATTGTACAGAGGGCTTCAGATGCTGGCCCTCTGTGTTTTTCCTTAACACTGCAAGATATATTGCCATGCCTAATTGTCATTACAAATACATCCATTTCTGCATTCAGGACCACACAAAGACTCCCACCGAAGGGCAAGATTCAGCTCCCATTAAAATCAATTTGAGTTTTCCATTATTGCAGTGGTAGTTGGATCAGGCTCAGAAGTTGATCCAAAAATGGTAGGATCTCTTATGCAAGAGAGATTCCTCTGTGTTGTAGCAACAGGAAATTTTCCCAAATACAGTATGCTGAACAGGTCCTATAACGTAACATAATTACAGCTCTGGCCTACATGTTCATTTTCAGAGAAAAGACCCTCTTTTGAGACTTTGGCAAAAAGTTCAGCACATAACCCACCCTCCACTAGGTTTTTTTAGGATAGTTGTTAGCCTAAACTTCCAGTGTTTCAGTATGTGCACCAAATTCTTCCCTCAGGCAGAGGGCTCTCTATGAACTCAATGAGGACTGTGTAGGTCAATCTAAGGGCAGATTTTGGCATAAACTAGTTGAAGTGTAACAGCTTGACAACTTATCTGACAGATATGTTAAGGGGAGAACATTAACTGTGATACTAGCTCTCCTCCTCCACTTCCCCTGCTTCACAACTGTTCCATTCCTCCCCTTTTCTTCCTACACCTCTGTCACTGACGATGAAGCATTCAGTATATTCTTTTTCTCCAACCCTATGTCTTATCCTCTCCTGGCTTCCCTAATATTCTTGAACCTCCTTCATTCTCTCCTCATTCTTGCTCTCTCTCTCTCTCTCCCCTCTCCAGTCCCCCTCCTGTCAGATAATCTCAGCCTCCTAACCTAAGAACAATTCCCCCACTCTCTAACTATCCATTTCCCTCACCTCCTCTTCACACCCGACCCCTTCAGCATACAGGCAACTCTTGCTGCTTTTACTTCTTTGCCTACTAACTCTCACCTTTACTCTCACAATCTGATTTTCACCTCTTCTACCCCACAGCACTCACTAAATCCAAGGGCTTCTCTCTACCCTCACCTTCCTTGATCTTTCCAATTGTGACAGGGACTGGCTCACCTTGCTGATAATCAGTTCCAAACTTCCACCCTTGGCACTGGAGCAGAGATACCACCTACAGCCTTTGGGGATGCAGGAAATCACCCAGAAATCACTCCGATCTTCTATTGGTAACACACACGTACACAACTTTGTCAGCAGCAGTCACCTTTATCAGCAAACCTACCATCCTATGGCCTCTCAGACATGATCAGGGGCTTCTTCCCTCTGGCCGATCCTCAAGTGAAGAACTGTGTAGGGTCAAAGGGTCATATACTCTGGCTCTCCCTGGACCCAGCCAAATGCCTGGACCTCAGACATCAATCTCCTGTGTCCCTGCAGCTGCACATGCCCTCTCCAGCAGCCCACCTAGTCCCTTCTTCAGTTGCAAGAGAGCCAACAACACACATATAGGGCAAGATTTCCTGTCAGCGCTTTAATTAGTCAATAGCGGGATGGGGACCTGCATCTCTTGTTTGTTCGTTCCCCTGCCAATCAGTGCACCAAGGATCAGGTTCCATTTCATAGCGTTGCTTCTGCTCTGGTGTGGAAGAGCACTCTGCTGCTTTCCGCACCATTGTCCACACCATCCTTCTCAACTCTCGTTCATCTCCAGGGGCTTTTATGCAACTGGCAAACGCCTCCTCTCTCAGACAGCTTCTTCAGTGTCTGCATTAAAGGCTCCATCATCTCTCCTTTTCTCTTTTCGCTGATGTACCAAAAGAATATGTCTTTGGGCTCCTCTTTTCTCTCGCTTTGTCTTAACCCATGGGATCTTAACCCCACTCGTGGTTTTAACTACTGATGACTGCCACATCTTCCTCTTCCTGAGCCCTGATACAGCTTTGCCTGGATGTCCTATTATCAACTTAAATGTAACACAATAAAACTATAATTCATCTATCTCCCCAAGTATTCCCTTCCCTTTTCCCCCAGAGCAGATATTTCCATGATCCTACCCATTTCCCAGGCTCACAAACTCATGCTCCTTCATTCAAAATATGCAGGCTATTGCTAAATCCAGACGCTATTTCCTTTGCAATCGATCCATAATCCATCCATTCTTTTTCATCTCTACTGCCCAAGCCCTCTACAATGCATCTATTCATCTTCTCCTGCTGCTCTGACTACATCACCCCCCTTTCCAACTGCTTTATTAACTCTACATCCCTTTCCACCTCAACGTCAGACTCCTTATTGGAATCACTGATTATAGATCACCCCTGAGTCACTGGTTATAGATCTATCTATCTGATCCCTTCGTTCCCCCAAATCCACCTCACTCCAGGTTCCCTCTGTTCCCATCTGCAATGTCTCCCACACTACTCCCTGCAGCTGGAATACCCAGCCCAACCCTGTATCTTAGACAACCTCCTTCAAAACCCTCCTCAGAACCTGCAACCAGTCCTCTAGTTAATTCCCTTCATTTGTTAAAAAACAATTATGCAACTATCCAGAACACAAAGCTAAGAACAAATCTGATCCATCGGATAAAACCGAAGCCACCAAGTAGTAATCTCTGTGTCCCTTCCTTCCATCACCCTGGCTTATTACTGCCTCTGCAGCTTGTCTCATTACTGCCAATTTAGACTGTAACCTTTGTACAGTAGGTACCAAGAGCCTTATTCTTCACTCTGGGTATGGCTAGACTGCAAGGGGTTTATCGGGATATTTCTGCCGCATCCAGGGAACATGTTTGCTCTTCCACTTCTTTTTGCGGAAGAGCAAACGCGCTCTTTCAGAAGCCCCTGTATTCCTCGTTCCATGAGAAATAAGGGGGCTTTCGAAAGAGGGTTTTTTTCCAAAATTTGGCCCAGTCTAGATGGGCCAAATTTCAGAAAAGCCTCTTCCGACCAAAGTATCGGAAAAAGATATGCAAAATCCTCACAGTCTAGACCTACTCTCTGTTATGCTACTTGTACCTTCGTCAACTTTAGTGAAGTTATAATGGAGAAAGAGAAACAAAAAACAAACAAAAAAGCAGGATTATGGAATGGAGAATCAGGCCCCTTATTCACTGGATAAAGTCCCATGCACATCTACAGTATGTGTGATGTAAAAAAGTAATTACGGATAATAATATTACCTCTATAGAGGGATATGTCTTATTGCTGTCAGTACTACGTTCTCCTGGAATGCTGCCTGCTGATCGTCCTTCACATTTGTACCTGAAACGCATGCCTCTTTGCCTGGGTTGCTCGAATATTTCAACGCAGGGTTCAGACCCACCTTCAGGAAAATGAAATGTTTAAGGTTAAATACAATGTAGCTTTAAAAGCAAAGGAAGGGCGGTTTTGTGGTAATAGCAATGGAGCAGACCTCAGTAAATCTGAGTTCTACTCCTGGATCATCCAGTTTTCTTGTGGGACCTTGGGTAAATCATTTAGTTGATCTGTGCCTCAGTTTCCCCTCTGTGAAATGAAAGTGATGATAATTCCTTTCTCCCACTCTTACATATTTAGCTTGTCAGCTCCTCAGAACAGGGTCTGTCTCTTACTATGCGTATGAACACAATGGGAGCCCTGATGGAGAAGGCTTCTAGGAACTGTTGCAGTATACATAATCATTAGCAGGATTCTCTCTCCATGGAGCTCATTATTTCATAATGTCAAAATGAACAGATCACTAGTCCAAAGGAATATTTGAAATGTTTTAACTATAGTACATTTTTTTCTGAACGCAAGTCCTCTCAAAGTGAAGGTGTTTCCTCTGAATTGATTGATGTAGTGACTACTGCAGTGAAGCAATAAGTTTTATGCAAATTAGGCAAAACCCCCCTAATGCTTTCAGTTTCAATACTGTGGTCCCAGAAATTGCATGGTTGCTGAGGGCCATCTCTATTTCGAGCTATCCACTTCTCACAGGAGCCAGCATGAGCAATAAGGTTTCTCTCACGATTTTATTAAAGAGTATTTGGAAACAGTGAAAGGGCCCAGTGTGAGAGAAGGCAACTTTTAGGGAATGGGGGTCAGGAAAAGATGGTAGGGCTGACATCAGTTAAGGCTCTAGAAAGATCCTGACTAATAGCAGGATTCTTCATACCTTTCCTAGGGTGACATTTGCCTGGGCCTGGGCCTCACTTAAGACTATAGTGAATTCCGTCCTCACTGAGAACACTGAAAATGCTTGCCAGGCAAGCAGTGACATCAAAGTCATGTGACAAGCAAATATTGGAGAAGCAAAAATCAATAAATAAAAGATTTAGTTTGGATGCTAAATTATCTTAGTAGGAACACACAGTCAAACTCTGCACTGACTGGCTGTACCTTACAAAGAAAGAAACAGAACTGGTAATATGGCACAGTTAAACACATACAGAAGCAAAGACCCTACAGCATGTCACTGAAACAATGTTAGAACTTCAACTGTTGTACCCAAAGTAGACAATAAGAGATAGAAATGCTGCTCACACTTTCACACATATATTTTTGACAGTTCTATAGAATAGGAGATTTTGGGGAAAGACACACTTCCATATTAATTTATTAAAATGTTCTCTTTTGTTGCTGCCAAAATGGTTTATAGTGGAACTCACCAGCTCAAAGTTTGTATGTATTGGTTCACAAGAATGTGATTTACTACTATATTTGTTGGGGCCAAAAAGGCTTTTTATTGCAATACTAGAAATCACTTCTCTCTTAGAGCAGGAAACTGCAGTAAGCTAAGTGACATGACAGCCCTTAGAAGAAACGTGTCAGAGAAAAGAAGAGGTCCATCTGCACAACATCATATTTATCTTTACTTTTATATTGATAGCTAGCTATGGAATGGTGATGTGCATAAAGATTCTGTTGCTGGTATGGGAACAGACTTTAAATCAAGCTGTATGTCTTTCTAAGGCTGTGTCCAGACTCAGGGTTTTTTTGAAAAAAGTAGCCTTTTTTCGAAAAACTTCACCTGCGTCTAAACTGCAGCCGCGTTCTTTCGAAATTAAATCGAAAGAATGCGGCTTTTCTTTCGACGGTGGTAAACCTAATTCCACGAGGAAGAACGCCTTCTTTCGAAAGTGCTCTTTCGAAAGAAGGCATTCTTGAAAGCAAACAGGCTTTTTAGAAAGAGAGCATCCAGACTCACTGGGTGCTTTCTTTCGAAAAAGCGGCTTGCTTTTTCGAAATTCCGCGTGCAGTCTAGATGCTCTCTTTCGAAAGAGGCTTGCAGTCTAGACATAGCCTAAGTGATGGCTGAACCAAAAGCTATGGGCTTGATGCAGGAACAACTGGTGAGGTGTTATGATTTATATTATGCAAAGTGTCAGACTACATTATTATAATGATCCCTTCTGGTCTTAAAGTCTATCAATCTATGAACAATGCTAGAGACAATTTGGAAGTCAAAAACTTCCCCAGTTATCTGAACGTTGTTATATCTATGCAACCCATCAGTTGAACGAAAGAGAATTTTGTTTCATGTCTCTCATTTCCAAGATTCCACTTTTTCATATTGTGCTGCCAAATCCTTTTTGAATGACAAAATGAACCTTAACATTGTTTTAGCGAACTTCTCACAAAAAGGAAGTAACTATATATGCCACTTTCCAGCCAGTGACTGTCTAGCTAAACATCTGACAATTTTAGAAATGACATCAGAAAATGAGTTGGCACGTTCAGTACATGCTGGCAATCACCATGACTTCTGCTCTTTTAAAAGGGCTGTCCCTTTCCTAAGCTCTTTCCCCTCTTGAAGTATGCTTTTGCAGATGCTGTCTTCACGGCAGAATGTGCATGACCCGCCAAAGGGGAATAAATAATAGAAACAGGGATGGTTAAACAAAAACAAACAAAAAGCCCTTAGAAGTGACACAGGGTTTTCATCATCTCAGAGTCAGGTCCTTAAACATTGTGCAAATATGTCTCTCACACTCAGAACTACTTATCCTTGTCTCATGAGCATAGTCCAGTGGTTGGGGTACAATGAGCAGTTCTATCACTTAGGGAATTATCACTTAACCTCTCTGTGCTTTATTTTCTCATCTGTAAATGGAGATAAAGATATACACTTTTGTGGAGCACTTTGAGACCTATAGACAGACAGTCACATTGCTATATGTGTGCTAAACTTTATTATTAAAAAAACAGTATCTATCTAGGGAGTTATAAAGTGCCTAATCATCAGGTTACTTAGGAGATATAGATATACAAACATGTACGTACAAATATACGTAGATGTGACCACAACCCTGCCCACCCACACATCACCTGTCAAAGCCATATAGAGTAGTGTCATTTATGATTGTATTTTATTATAGAACTGCTTCAAGCACTTTAATATCTTTACTTTAACCTATAATTTTACCTTCGATATAGACGTCTACAAGTGTTAGTGTTTCACCCACTGATGACATCAACTACATTTTTAAAAAGTCAGGCCTCAATTGTCTTCATGTAGATTTAATTTGTGGTTGAAATAAAGGTTACTTAAGTCATATACACTACTTATCAGTAGGTGTGTCCTTGGGGGAAAGCAAAATCCAATGACACAGTAACCTTCAGAGATTACAAATTAAACTTAATTTTAATTTTACTTTAAGAATCAAGTTACCTACAGTTTTACTAAACAAGGCACTATGCCACTGTACACAAGAAACACATTAAGAAATCTGTGTGAACCAAAGCAGTTGGAGACTTTGGATCAGCACTCTTTGTAGTAAATACTAGACATCCATTTCTTGTTCCCATTTTCTGTAAATGAATGTGCTCTTGCCAAAGCAATGCAGCTGAGACTATTTCACAACCCCCACTCAAACTCACACAGACAATGACATGTACTTTTTGGATTAAGAAGAATATAAACTATGTCAAAAGCGGACATCTGAGGACTAATTCTGGAAGAATAAGATTCGACTTAATTATGCTACTGAAATGGAAAAAAACCTACAAATCCATATTAAAGGAAATACTAGTAGCTTTATTTATACTTATGTTTATTGGCAATAAGATTATTGTGCTGTGTATCCCAACATGCTTATTTGTATGTGCATGAATGCACTGAAAACAACAATAAATAATTTTTTTTTAAATTAGCCGTAAATTCTCAGTGACATGAGTGACAGAAACTAGTGAAATCATCATGACAATGTGAGAACAGTAAGTTACTCTGAATCAAGATCTGGGACGCATTTTTTTTAAATCACTAATACAAAATTATCTAAACTGAGAAGCACAAAGAGTTTAAAGTTAGAGCCATCAAAATTAACAATGAAAGAAGCAAATATTGATTTCCCTGTCTACCACTAGGAAACAGGTCCTTTACAGACAAAGAGCTGATGCAAAAGTGCAGCTATGACTGCAAAGGGCTTTCAAAGAGTGGATGCTCTACCATTAATTAGAATACTTACTGTCCAAGAATGTGCAGTCGAAACAGGGAAGAAGAAATATGTGCACAGCATTCATCTTAAAGTTAAGATTCTTGGAATTCTTGAGTTACCTAGAGAAGTCTGGTTAGACCTCAGTAGTGAGTTTATGGAAAGGTGAAGAACAAAGTCAAAACGGGCTGTGATGTAATATGCAACTTTCACAGATGCATTCAAATTTTACCTCAAGCTAGCATTGCCACAGATTCCTCTGCAGAGAAGGGACAGGCTGTGAAGAGGCAATGACATAAGAATATTCAATTCTTGCATGCCATAAGAACATTCAATTCTTGCATGCAACTGGGAGGTGTTCTGCAGTAATGCAGTATCTGGAGTGCATGAAAGAGAGTGACTATCGACAACATGTAATCACTATACAAAACCACAATAAAGTGGGGGTATTTTAGGTGTGCAGATTATGGTGCCACTGGTGGAAAAAAATTGCCCCTCCAACTCATATGCAGATGCCCTCCCTATTCAGAATCTGTGGACCAGGTGTCCAATCTGCATACCAAAAATCAGTGGCTGCTTCTGAAAAATTAGACCCTAAATTCTAAGCATCTGCCACAGCAGCCTAGGCAGGAGGAGGACAGGTGATAGATCTACTATTAAACATTCTGACTTAACCTAAAACAAGTGCAAATACATTCTTAAATCTTAATTCAGAAAGGGCAATCCTCCAGACAAGCATTCATGACCTGTGCATCTTCTAAATAGATGCAGTTTAGAAGCAAAACTGTTTTATGTACTTCTTCTTTCTTGTCATGTGACATTACAGAATAGTAACTAGAAGAGAAGCCTGTAAATACTAGGAAGTTAAGAATTTCCCCTGCTAAAAATTCCTTCTCCAATTGTTAATAAGTTGAAAATATATTAGTCG